GCTGCGAAGAATTTCGTCAAGCGAGTTGGAAGTAATTTGGAACCCACCCCTATACCACTCCTCGTCATCGTCTCCAATCACATATATGGTTTATTACGCCATCCATGCTCAGAGCAACATAGACGAGTGGGCAGTTTTAAACACTACATCAACATCTGTTGTTTTGAAAAATTTGCTACCCAACAATTACGCTGTCAGAATTAGGTCGAGATTGAGTACTGGTAAAGTCAGTGAGCTGTCGAAGGTCGTCACTGAGACTGGATTTAGTTAGTGGATTTGTGTCTTAATATCGCCTGATTATATATCTTTTCTCCCTGCTCTGATTATATATCTTTTCTCCCTGCTCTCCCTGCCAGGGCAATCTGTGTATCACCATTCAGTATAGCGTTGTGAATGATGGTTATTGATTAGCTATACGTTTTTTAGTTGATATGCGATGACGAAATGTGTTTATTGATTTGATCGTGATAGTATTGTCGATGATAGCGATGATGAATATGATAATGGAGAATGACGATGATAAGGATCGCATACTGTTCATTTACAGTTGCTCTTCCCAGTCTTGTTGATCCAGTTGATGGCCATCCAGCGTCATCGTCTTCATCAGCATCAACACAAACAGTACAGGCAGCTCAAGCCTCGCGTACAGATGGTACATTAGTAAGGAACTTGGTAGGGTCGCTGGTAGAGGGCAGGGAAGGTGAGGAGGTTTTGTTGGAATGGATGACTCCTGAGAAAACTGGCATCAAGCATTATGAGGTGTTTTTTTTTTAATTTCCATTCATTTCTATACATGTTCATATTTCCAGAACTTTATCTGTAGTTGATAACGTGTATATATATTTGAAGATATCATACTGGGCTTCTAAACGCTACGTTGATGAGGGCGGTGTACTGCAGAAGTTTCACAGTACCGAACGTCTGAAAATTGATAATGGTGGTTCAAGAAAAGTAAAGATTGACTCCTTAATGGCAGACACCGCTTATTCATTCAACGTTACATCGTGTTTCCAGGACGGCATATGCAACACCTCACAAACCATCCATCAACATACTGCTATTAGAGGTTAGAATCTTTCTATCACTTACCTTTCTATCACTTCCATTTATATTCATAAAAATGTCATAATAGAAGTAACATGGTAATCATTGTTTTTAGTTTTATCAAAATGTCATTTTTTTGTACAAAAATTTGAAACTTTTTTGTTTTGTTAAAGTCTTGCAGCATTTTAGCTGAAGGATGAGGATGAAGTATGTATGGTAACAGATGGATATGTTAATGTGAGAGACTGTCACCGTTATTTATTTCTAATGTTATTGTTGTTGCTACCTGAGTCACCTGTATCAGTAATCAGAAAAACAAATTACTTGCTGATTGGCTCACAGATATTAAGTTGTATTTAAATTTGAATCAGATAAATTACAAACATATTAGTGTTAATCATACTTAAAGAACGTAAATGAGCTTATAATAGGCTTATGAATCACTCAGAAAAATAATATATTAAGTAAATATGCTACATACAAGTTGCGACATTTTGTCAACATGTAATTATCATCGCCTAACAATAATTTGATTAGTGGCACTTAATTGCATTAAAGTCTCAAAATTTGCCCCCAATAGAACCTCCCTTGTTCAGTGCTCCTCAGCTCTTGAACTCGCCATCACCTCCAAGATCCTCCAACACATCACCATCATCATCGTCTTCTTCCTCCTCCTCCTCTGGGGTGTACACGTTGGAAATGCATGGGGCATCAGGCATCAGGGGTCCAATAAGAAAGTACTACGTTGTCTTACTAACCAGTCACCTGTACGAAATGAAAACACCCGATGACTTCCCTAACAAAGAGGTCTGCTATTGCTTGTTTGCTGCTACACTTCAACTTATTCCGCTATTTGTTAATTCTATTGTTTCCCCGCTTGTTCACCCATTTGTTCTCTCATTTGATCACTCACTTGTTTACCTACAAGCTACCCACTTGCTCATTCAAATTTTACAATCACATGAGCTTCAATTTCAGTGTTTTCTCACCATACTCTAACGTTATATTTACTCCTTTAAGAATCAAAGTTATTCAGGGTTTACTTACTTCGTTATAAATTAAAAAAAATTCTGGTTTATCCTGATTTCAAACATTTATTAAAATCTGTTTTTTACTTACACCACTGCAAACTTTTTTGAACGATTGTTATTTGACATTTATTAAATAGAGTTGCATTTGGTTGGCTTCTTTAAAGCTGCATTGAGTTGATGATAATAATGTGTCACTTATACATCATGCATGTTATAGGTATTTTATTTACATTACATTCGAATCGTGACTTGAAAACACTTATTGGTTGTTGGGAAATGTTTTTTATATTCTCATAAACTTTTACTTTTCTCTATAGCTGGTTGGATCAATGAAGTCAGAGAAAACTATAACTTCATCATCTTCTTCATCATCATCATTTTATCATCCATTCCTGATTGCTTATGAGTATGCCACCTTGCCAAATAGGATGTCCTTCAGTACTCTTGATGGCTACGATGATGATGAGGATGAGGAGGAGGATGAAGATGATGACAAAGATGATGAGGCTAACAGTAATAATAATACAACTTCTATTGACATTGATAAATATAATAATAATAATAATAATAATAATAATAATAATAATTATAATAATAATGAGGCTAACATAATAAGACACCATATCAAGAAGTTGAAAAGAGATGTCAGTTACAAAGTCTTCGTCAGAGCCTTCACCGCTAACCATGTTAGTGTGCTGCTGAAGTTTTTTTGTTACATCAGTTTCAACATTTTTTGAAATTTGTAACAGTTCATTCAGTTTGTAAGCATTTCGAAGATGAAAGTTATAATTTCTTGCAGTGTTTTTCAGCTGCCACATTGTTTGATGATCTATGCTTCGGTTCTCACTGCCAATTAGACTCATTTTGTTTTGTAGCATTATTGCTGTTGCGTCTTCGTGTTTCTACAACTGCCTTCATTCATTTCCTTGCACTTCATTAAAAATAGGAATGTGACGAATCTGAATCTTGATGATGGATCCGGACGAATCCGAATTCGAATCAAATTTGCATACGATCGTAAAACCAAAAATGCTGTTTCAAAACGAAAAAGTTTACAAAAAATAAAATTTGTTTTTGTGAACAAAAAACTTTTGGCAGTTTTATTAATAGCTGAAACAAATCGCGGAAACATTAATGAGTTTGTCGATCTAGGAGTGTTTATTACTTAATTCTTGTTGATATTTAAATTCACTTTTTTTGCCGATCGAAAGTTTTTCGTTCTTTAGGTTAGTTTTGGATGGTGGATCCTCAACTTTGGATCCTCGCGGATCCGAGACCCTAACCCGAATCTTGAATCTATCGCATTTCTTATTAAAAAAT